TCCAGGTAGCTGATATCTTATATCCTTTATCAGTATTATTTTGGATTTTGTACAGTAAAGAGTCATAAAGGATTTTTCATATTAATGATGAAATAGTTTTTCCTTGATCAATTCCATCCCCTATTTTTATAGATTCTATAAGATTATTATTAAATATAACTTTGAATTCTCTATTTTTGAAAAGACTTATTATAATCTTGATAAAACCTTTAGGTATCTTGATTATTTTAATAGCCTTTATTAATATTTTCAAACTAATAGTATTATAAGCTTTGATTGTATCTTAAAAAAGTATCCATAACTTCTTTTTGTTTTCTTGTGATATTATTGAGAATTTGAATTAATTCTATAATATTTTTCCTAATAGTTCTGTGTAATTAGTTTTTTTGAAAATATTATTAATTTTATAAATATTTACCATTTTATTGATTAAAACTTTGGTAAAACACTTTCTTATAGTTTTTAGTAATACAATAGGTTTTTTATTTAATAGTTCACATTTTTATGACTTTAGTTTGGCTATTGAATATATATGATATTGTTTTTAGGATATAGATATAATTTTACATTTCAAGAAGTTGTTAAGCATTTTTTGTAAATATTCTTTTCCTACTTAACTTAATCCTTTTAATATTTCATAACTAATTTAGAATTTTTCTAGAACTTTATTATTAGGAAACATTTTGAATATTTCATTTAATTCTTCTTGAGAAATTGGTTCAAGAAGATTCTTGTACCAGTTGTCTTGAATATAGCTTTTGGGATTGTATTTCTCTTTCCAGTCTTCTGTCAAATTATCAAAATTGGCTTTTCTTTTTTTGAAGATCTCTAAGTAATATTGTTTTATTTCTTTTTTGATCTTATGTTTCTCTGTTATTATATATTTATTATTATCTTGCTCAATTTTGATCTTGTTTAATATTATTTTGCTTTTTTTTTTTATTTATCAGGGAGTTTACTATTTATCATTGATTATTTTTCAGATTATTATATCTTTGTTATAGAGTGACTTTAATAGCCTCTTTTGTTTTTTTTTGCTTCAAGTTTTTGATTGATAAACTTTAACCTTCTATTGTATTCTGGATATCTTTTTTTAATAATATCCAAAGCATATTAAAAATATTATATTATATGCAATAGTTTTCAATCTAATAGTTTGGTCTATAGATAGTATTGTGTTTTTCTATTGTTTTGTTGATATTTTTAACTTGTTTATTTCTTTTGAGACTTCTACCTTCTTGAAAAGTCTTTTTAATTACAAAGCTTTTTAGTATTTGATAAATTCAAAGCTATGTCTATTATATTTTTCTTTTTATAATATAATCTTTATTGTTTTGAGTTTATTAAAGATTGCCTTGCATACTTGATCCTTGAAAACTTTTCAGGTTTTGTTTGCATTTTTTTTTTATCTTCTTCTAGTTTTTCCATAAAAAAAGGATTTAGTCTTGTTTTTAGTTTGTAATTCAAGCTTTATGATAAGCTTGCTATTGTTCTAATGAGAATTTTTTTATATCAATTCTTTTTTTATTTTGTTCTTTCAATTTAGTAACCAGGCTTTTTGTAAAAAGGTTTTTATTCTGCAAGGTAATTATTAATATAGTGTGATTACTTCCTATAACTTCTTATATCTTTTGATTATCAAATCAAAGTATCAAATATCTTTTTAGGCCTTGTAATATTCATATATAATTAATTCTACTACTACTTGTCACGCTTCATCATATTGGGATTTTATTCTTGCCTTCTCATATTGCTTGGATATCTAGAAAATCTCAATTATCCAAAAAGTTAAACAATAGAATTTCAGGATATCAAAAAAAAAAAAAAGATTTGAATTTAGCTTTGAAAAATAATGTTTTATTTTTGGATGAATTGTAAACAGCATTGAAATCTTCTATTACTATAATATGAAAATTTTGTTCTTGTTTTTTCTTGATAAAACTGATTAATTTCTCTTGTACTTTTTTACATTATTGTTTATCTGATAGAATATAGATTTGTATAATATAGACTTTTTTCTTTTTCATAAGAAAATTTGTTACTATTATATAATCTTATTTTTCTTCAATTTATATTATCATCTTCTTTTTCAAATTTTTTCAAATTAGAAGACTAAACTCCTGCTTCGAATAGTATATTTTTGTTTATATTATAAAAGTGTTTATAAACTTTTTGATTAGTAAAAGTCTATTTTGCATTGATCTGAATTAGCTTAGTTTTATATATTCCTATTATGCCTATTCCCTGTTCTTGTATTTTTTTTTCAATGAGACTTTATTAATTTATTTTGTTTGTGATATCTCTGATATTATATGTACCTATTCTTATCACTCTTTTTTGAACTTCTTTTTTATTATCTTATTTGTCTATTTTTTGTTTTTTTTTTGTTTTTGTTATATAGAAATATTATATACACATTCTGTAAAAATGTTTCTACATTTAGATTATTATTTTACTCTATTAACTTATTTAGATCTACTACTTGTTCTTTGCTCTTGTTATAAGTCTTTACTGAGGGAAAACCAGGCTCTTTCTCCTTTGTTTATCTTGATCAACTGGTGTGTTATTTTAGGAGTGATCTGTTCAACCTGCCCCTCTTCTCCTTTGTTAACTAGATCTTGACTTGTTTTGAGCCTAGCAATTCTTCCATTTAGTTTTTCTAGATTCATTAGTATAAGCTTGAATGAATCCTATTTATTTGTTGGCTCCGAATTATTGAGTTGCCTCTTGTTTTGACTTTCCAATGGATTTCTAGGATTTCTTAATAGTTCCCTATTACTTTCTGTTGCTAGGTGGTTCAAGGTTCTATGATGTCTTTGTCATATATTGTTGTTGTTCTGTCCTTGATACATTCTTTTTTGCTTGATTGTCCATTTATGTTCAGAGGTTGTGGTAGAGCTTACAGATTCGTTATCTGAAGGTGAGTCCGATATAGGTATTAGATAAATATTTGTCATCCTCACTTATTATATTTTCCGAATTAGGCGTATGAGACAATTTAGTTTGATATATCATCTGTGTTAGAAGGTTCGGTCACTTGCGCGTTACAATTTGTAACGCCGATCATTTCTTGATATTTAACGGAAGAATAATCTACATTAGGATTTTTAGGAAAACAGTTTATAATATCTTGGAATCTGATTGTCAGTTAGACTTGAAATTGCGCTTGCACTACATGTTATTGCTTGGATTTTTTCCATTCCTATCCCCATAAGTAACGTATAGATCTTTTTTGCTCTGAATGTTCTTTGACGCAAATTCACATCACTGATATCTGGGAGAAGCGCTTTTACAGTATCTCATTATATACCAATGTCCTTGCTGATTGGTCATCAATTTTATTTATACATTTAATGTTCTCGACTCGATCCTCATATGCTTTATAGTAGCAATACCAGCATAAAATCTCATTTTGCCTAACTTTCATTGCTATAATAAACAAATGGGCTATATTTTGTGCTGTAATTTTGCTGGATCCTGTTATAACTACTTCTAGCAAGAATTCAGGAATTTGTATATCAAATACTTCACTAACTTTATTATTACTCTCTTTAATGAACACAGATAAGTCGTGCCTTAAGCCTTGTTCTACTCTTTTATTGTATGACATTTTTATTTCAGCTTGATCAGTAGGCCATGCCGGCGGAGCCGACAACAGGATTTACCTCATTTTGTATATTGGAGGAGGAAGATGCGTTTTGTATTGATCCTTGACTCTGAAGTTTCTTTTCCCGATTTCTTTCTCTTATTTCATTACTAATCTTTTCTCTATGTATCGTTTCTACAAATTCAAGAATCTCGACTGAATCATCATTGATAATGTCTTGTGATAAAGAGGTTGCAGATGTTTCAGATTTCGCTAGAGATTCAGATATTGTCAAACTATTTTCTTGTTCGGGTAAGCAATCGGGAGTGATGTTTGCCTCCTCTCCAGAATGGCCCTCGATAGGTGACGGAATGGATGATAATCCTTTAGGCTCATCTTTTATTTCGGAAGAAATAGTACTTGGTACCTGGGTACTTACTGATAATTCTGAACAAGCCGGAGACTGAAAAATATCTATTGTAGAAGATGCATCTTGCTCATTAGTGATGACTCGGGTTTGCTTCTGTTCCAATTTGTGACTCTATCTTTAAGCTCAGCATTCTAGGCAGTGAGATTGGCGTTATCTGTTTTATTTTTCTTTTCTAGCTCTTCGAATCTGATCTTGAGCACAGCATTTTCTTCTATAGCCTGTTTCAATCTTGTGTTCTCAGGCTTGACTCCAGCATTCTCCTTTCTAAGTTCATCAATCTGAAGAACGAGCTTGAGATTCAACTCTTTCAATGAATCAATTGTGGATTGTGCATTCGCCATTGTTTTATTTAAGATACAGATATATTCAAAAGTTTGTTTATCCTCTGTCTTTTTTACAAGCTCGAAGTTTCAGCCAGAATATGGTTATGTATCTTGTTGCATCGAATTATATCTTATATACATTCGCATTATTTCCGCAACGCCTGTCACGAAAAAAAATTTCAGCCATAGACCCATATTAAAACATACAATACGCGAAAAGATGTTTATAGAAATCGTGTTAAAACGTCTTTGCTTTATTTATTGTAAAAAAAATCGAAAAGAAAAATATATCTATTGTTCTGTATTATTGTCTACATTATAAGTTTTCCGTTAAGCTAAACTATCTAACACAATATCCAAACATTAACTCCAGTATACGGATATATAGGTAATTATTTTCGAAGGTGGGCAGGGATTTTTCTGACTTTATAATTGCACTCCTAGAATTTATATTGTATATGTACGTATTATTCAAAAAAAAGGGTCCAAAAAATCGTTTATAAAATTTTTGTCGTTTTCAAAACTGAAAAACCCAAATATAGAAAAGCAAACTGGTTAAATTGACCAATCAGAGATTAACTTTTTACGCATCTATTTATCGTTGTGACTTCATTAATAATAGATAATCAGTCGCGGTTAAAACTCTGCTAAACAAAATAAAATGACGAGCCTTGCAGAAGAGTCATTCTCAAAAGAAGCTTTCAGTATGTCTAAAAGCTCTACCATTCATACATCTTTTGCAGTTATTCTGATTGTACTCACATCCACATTTACAGATTTTTCCAAGTACCTTATTGAAAGGACGCCAAACGAATGGAATGAGCTTGACTTCCTTAATTGGCTGAATGGAGTGATGAGCTGTTTTGCACGAATTTACCACTTAAAGACCGAAAAACAAGATGGCATGGTCGGTTTAGGAAAGCAGTGGAGAATGTTAGATCTCGGTGTAAAAGTTATCTGGAACAGGCGACAACCAATGACCGCGACCACTTGAAATCTTTTGCTACAACTGCATTAAGGTCGGCGACTAATCTCCATAAAAATTTGGTAAGTTTATTCTATGAGAATGAGGAATGAATACTGTAACTGAACAGGCCAGTATAGGAAGTTCAGGCGCAAGACATTTCTGTAGCCATACCGCTACAGAGACATGGCTCAGTCCGTATGGTTAGCCGTTTTTGGCATACAGTATGTTGTAACCGAACAGGCCAGTATAGGAAGCTCGGGTTCAGGACATCTCTGTAACCGTACCGTTATAGAGACATGGCTTAGTCCGTATGGTTAGCCGTCCTGAGCATACAACCACTCTACAACCATTCTGTAAAGCTATAGTGTCATCAGAAGCTAAATTGCTATATAATTTTATACTAAAATCATTCCTTTCTTATTTTTTGAGACTAAAATTCCGAGTAACGTTTCTGAATGGTGGGAACATGTTACTACACAAATGAAATTTAAGAACACCAAAAAACTTGAAAAGTTAATTATGGCTAAAGACTCCCTGTCTCAGGTTAGTTGAAATGGGCGCAATCTTATCACAGTTTAACTCTATGTCCCAGGTATGTATTATAAAAAATATTTGATCTCTTTCAAAAATGATGATATATTTTTGCAGAAAAGTGGTGGATATAACAACATAGGCCTATGTTGCTGTCTGTATCTGGGTGTATGTGATATTGTTTTAGCGTATGTCTTAGTTTGCAGAGTGCTGGCACTGTAAGTATCAAAGGGTGCAGTTCAGGAGATTCGTCGTTCCGGTGTGATTCTTCACATTAGATTCGGTACGAGCTATGCCTTGTGTACCTCGTCGCCGACCGTGGGCATGGATCTTATATTTATTATGAAACGCAACACCTGATCGTCGATCTTTAAGTGTTAAAATTTTGATCAGATCAGAACAAATCATGATGAAATTTATAGTATATACAGTGTATAATCTAATCTATTTGATGTATACAGTAGAATAGTGATTAAAATAATAAAAAAATTTTTTTATGATGCAATTAATAAAAATTTACTGTTGTGTGACTTTTGGCATTTTTTTTGTAAAAATATAAAAATGCAAAAATTTATTTAAACCTTGTATAAATTAAATATTTTCAAGA